TGCCATTGCCTCTGCCACCGCATTGAATTCTCCTCTTGAGTTGAATGACTTTTCATCGATTGGAATGAGGAATTGAAATTCAAATGTTGACTGTAAGCTCAAGCCTTTGTAAAATCCAGATAACTCTTCCCCCTAATTAGCATCGAAAAGTAATTGTTTAATAAATATTATAATTGATGATTCATGTGAATTTGAAATTGAGTAGATATTTCACCTTCTCAATTGATCTGATGTAATCATTAACAGAACATCCAACGTACACCATTGCGGCTTCCTCAAATAAAGTTATTGTCGCATTGTGTGTATCTCCCACGACGTTTAAGACCAACCTATATCTGCAATGATTGTATATTTTTTTGTAAATCTTTTTGTGTACTTAAAATATTAGATTCGGTGTTTTTGTTATGCTTAATACCTTGGAGTTGGTTCCACGACTTCGCTATTGCACTTTTTGCATGACATGCTGTCGTTGGTCTTTGTAATTGCACCGGCACAAATTTTACACGATTCATACCACAACGATGATTTATTCATAACCTTATCCACATATCCTTTGAAAGAATAGTATTTTTCCTGTGATGAAAAGAAAACTAATGAAAAATATTGCAAACAAAATTGAGAAAGATTATTTTTTGCCGGTTGAAAGTTTTGAGATATTTCTATATGGTACCATTTAGATGCTAATGGAGGAAAGAAATAGAATACATCAATACTTTGCTACATTATGAACTATGACGGAAGTACAATATTATAGTACCAAGATTAAAATTAAACTATCCATCAAAAATTAAATTATTACGTGGAATTCAAATAAAATGCACTATGAGGATGGACATTGGCTAAAATGATCTATGACCCAAATTAATTACTTATCATTATAAAAACTATGCATGAAAATTAAATACGATAGACGCACACTGTTGATTATTCACACACATATTTGGTAAAGTACGTAAAAGTATAAATATAAGAATTCATAATGCGATCATAAATAATAGTCAGTTATGGAATTATTGAATTTCATCTAAAAAATAATGTAATAATAATCTATAGTTGATCTAAGTTTGAATTTTCCAACATAATTAACAAAAGTTATAACACGAAATATTTGTTAGAATTTTTCTCGTTGCTATTTCACATGCTCTTTTTGTAGTGGTGATTTTCAATGATTATCCAAATAAAACATGTAGTAATACGTAGATTATATATGTATATATTTGTAAATAATTTTTTTTTTTTCTTTTATGCCGCTATCATCATCCTACAGCTAATTTACTACTACAATTATCTTTTATTTGCAACAGCTCATTTACGTTACAAACACTGTAGCAAAGCCTAATCAGCTTAATTCACAAGATATATATACCGAAAGTGATAGTCACGGGTAAATTGGTTGTCATTCTTAGAACAATTGGACTGTGACAGAACATATAGATACGTGATATCAATTATCTTTTTAAAAGATGACTATTATTTGTAAATAAACTTACTTTAAGGAATATTAATTATTGTAAATGTATATTATATTCTAACCGACTTCCCAAGTCCGTGAGAATTATATTGATGACATCAAGTAAAAAATGAGATCTTGAATTCAAACCCATTACACAATTTATATAATATGGTACAATCATATTAAGTGTTGAATTTTGATACGGGAATTCTCCACTTAACATCAAGATAATGTTGTCGTTCACACATAGAGATATTTAGCAAGGAAAAATTGACTTTTTATTTTACTTGTTTATCTAATTTACCTTATTGAGCTCGTCTCGATTGAACAAAATTTGATGTAAGGTCACAACTTCGACATCCTTCATCTTTTGTCTCATCGACATTTCAAGCAAATTCATACGCTTGTCATGTACTCGCAACCTAATAAATATCACATATAAACAGAAGGTCATATTATTTTGAATTATATTGTACTATATCGCATCTACTTCTCAGAATTTAGAGTTTACCATTGACGAAATTGATTGTTTTCTTCACAAGACGCGTTGATTTCCAGAAGTGATGCGTTGTTTGTTTTCAATTGCATTTGACCTTATGATATTAAAGTGAAGAGTATTAAAATTGAAAGTCTAGTTGTGACATCAATTAAAAACTATAGAATATAAATATCAATTCTCAAAATTAATTATTTTAGTATTTATTAATATAATGTTATGTCTTACCGTTGTATATCTTCGATACCATTAGCTTACTGAAAGTTACGAATGGCCTTTGTGCAACCATATCATATAGAGCAGTTCCTTCATTTTGCGACATATCCTCCCATAAGGAGACTATAATGGTTCAACACCTTGTAAACACAAAGAATGTAATTATTTGTATATTTTGTTGTTGTTATTGTTTTTATTATTATTAGCATTATTAGTATAACAAATATTTTTTTAAATGTATCCCATGTTTTTAATTAAATAAGCATTAATATTTGTGTAAGTCAAAATTTCGAATATGTTGAATGAAATACTCACTCCCGGTCCATAAGCGTAATGTCTCTTATGGGTGCCTTTGCACCCGTTGTTTTTGTAACAATCCTGGACTCTTTCACCTTCATCACAATCCCACATATATCTACGAAGAGAATAATAAAATGTACTCGGTGAAGTCATTTATATAATAGTTTTAAGAACGAAAATTAGAGTAACTATACATACCAATCATTTCACTTCGATGAAGTTGTATGTCAATATCTCCGAAGTTCATAAAATTATAAGGGATATTGTGTTTTATTTCTTCGGAGGAGGAGTTGACTGTGGTCTTGGTGCTCATCTTCAATTGGATTTCCTTTTCTGGATGAACTGCTGTTTTAGCATAGTTGCTGTTGATTTGTTTTACTTCTCCATTCTCAATCGTGAAAGTTCTATTCAACTGGAATTCTTTGGCGAATGCATCGATATCACTGTTAAACATTATTACGCCTATTTGAACCCCCTGCATACAATTATAGTTATGAAGACAATGATTAATAATTGTTTATCATATATAATATTTTTAAACTACAATTGTACAACATATATTTATTTAAAATTAGAGAATCACACTTTCATACCATTGACTTATTTTAATTGTTATGTCAATTACTAATTATATACATATAATAGCTTTGGTTATGAACATAAATTGTGGATATAGGAGGCTGAGATGCAATTCATCTAACTTTCAACAACTCTCATTATTAAATATGCACATAATGCATTGATAAATATAAATATAAATTTGCATGTGTCCTTAATCAAGTATAATTACATGAAAACAAATTCGTAAACATGCATGTTCCCAGTGCCTATTTCTGTTTCGCACACAATCAAAACATTTGTGTAGCAAGATATAAAGAGATTATACGTTCTTTTATGCTTCATCTTTAAGATTATTATAAGTCTAAAATAATAGATTATATGCTCATATTGCATGTTATTTTAATATACAAAAAGTCATACCAGATTATCTCTTGTCGTAATTTAATTATTCTGTCCCAAAATTTCTAATTTTATACATTATACAAACATTGTTTTGTACTGAAATCCCAGAAAATAAAAAATAAATTGTGTAGTCAATAATGCATGTTAAAAAATTGAAAGTACGCATTCCATGAAAATTAAATCATGTACTTACATTCTTGTCAACCATTATCATCTTTTGAATCCGCATTGAACCGTTTTTCCCACATGGGCCATCCGAACCTAATCGTAGAGGTTTCAATTCGATCGTGAATGTTGTTTGGCCAATATTCAAATGATTTACAGTGGTGTTCGACATAATTTTATCTTTGATCCTGCGTGATATTATTAATAATACACAATAATGTTAGAGATCAAAGTCTATGTAATGTAATTAAAAATTGGATAGAGTAAATTGACTTACAAATGATGATCTTGCAATGGTAGGTCTTGCGGTTTCTCCTAATCTGAAAACGTGGAGTAAATTATGTATGTAAAGGGTATATATAATATATGGTTTATGCAATTTATGATATGGATGTTTAATAGGTATCCTTGTTTGATTAGAATTATGTATACTTAAAGTTAAAAGTCTTTATATTTATTATAAGTATTTTATTTAATAAGGACTCCTAACTAAAGAAGGCTTTAATTTAATATCATAAATATTTTGATCTGTTTCAATTTTTTGATTTCGCGTGGAGAAACAGAGAGAAAACAGAGTTTTTTTTTTTTTAGAGAGCCGTGTAATATTTGGGGCGGTATTTATAGTGGAATTTATTAAAGGGTATTTTTTTTATTTTTTTTTTCTCGTTCATTGTATTAAATTAAAGATTTTCCTCTTGGATACTAATTTGTGCGTGATTATGTTAATGTTAGGAGTGTGACTTTCGAAGTCAAAATTATAGTCCCTCTATTATATGGGACTGTTGAGCATAACTTTCCCAATTACTATATCACTGTTTGATTAGAATTAGAATTATGTATACTTAAATTTAAAAGTCTTTATATTTATTATAAGTATTTTATTTAATAAGGTCTCTTAACTAAAAAAGACTTTAATTTAATATCAAATATATTTCATAGTACACAATATTTCATAACTGTGGGTTATTCCAAAACATATTATTTTATTTAATAGAATTGGCAGTCAAGTTTTGTAGGAATAAAGTACATTATGCTAAATGGATTTTGTTCCGAGTTGTTCTGTTATTTTTTACTATCTTAAAAATATTGATGATAATGTTTAACAATATTCATTGTGTTTCGTTGTTTTTTTTTTTATATAATTTTTCTATTGCTATGGTGTTTGTTCATTGAAAAAGTATTGTGATGGTGTTTAAATAAATATTGATGTATTAAAATACTTCTCATTTTTTTAAAATCATGCCCTCAACCTTCTTGATTAATTTACACACACGGTTGTAAAATATAATTTTTACAATAAATAAGCATCCTAAGAATGGAACTGTGTCAAAAATAAATTAGTAGAATAATTACATAAACATACTTTCCTAATTTTATAACCAATATTAATTCATTTCAACCTACTCTTTACGTCTGTAATTAAACATATCATTATTTTAAAATTAAATAGCAGTCTATTACAACATAGTCTCTCCATCCTTAGTTATGGAAAAAATTAACCTGATTATTATTATACTTATTTGACTTGTTTAATTATGTACTATCAAATATCATGAATGATGATTTAGTTACTAATTAAAATGAATTATTTTATAGTTTGATATTATCTTTATCTATCCAACGACAAGCATCCATCGTTGTAGTTAAACAAATAAGACATGTTATAAATAAATCTAAAAAAACTTGCAATTGTAAGATTTCTCAGTTTCATCTGCATATTATGAAAAAAAATTGTGACTCAAAAGAAATTGAGTAAAGTACAAAGATCAATAAAAATAGGCCCATGAATTACTTTTAATGAGTTGCATCTACAAAAACATATAAAGCTTGATCACGTAGCATGATAAAAACAAACCTAAAAAAAAAGAATATAAGCGATTGTGTCCGTCCATTGCTATCAGTCATTTATGGACAATTAAAAGACCAAAAAAACACAAATCATGAAAGACTTAGCACAAGAGTTTTGAAAGCATTTTAGTATATTGATTACAGTTACAAGAATGAGAAAACATCAGTTTTTTTGGTATTCAAGTCCATTTTGTCATCCTTCTGCTACATGTATTGCCGCCATCAAAGAACTACATCTGCATAGGATGAAAGACATTGTGACTCAAAAGAATTTGAGTAAAGTAGAAAGATCAACAAAAATAGGCCCATCAATTACTGTTAATGAGTTGCATTTATAAAAACATACTTTTATATGATTTAGGACTCCTGCTGGGGAAAATTATTTCTAAGGCGGAACAGTATGTGCAACTTTTGCTGGTTTTCCTCTTGCTTTTGTGTCTTTGTTTGTGATAGACATTTCTTTGTTTTTGTCTTCTTCTTTCGTTAGTTGCAAACCTCTAAGCATGAGTCAAAATCCAAAGAGAAGTGCAATATAATGTGATTTCTATGTGTCGGTTTTGTAAAGATAAGTTCTGGAAGAGTATTATAGCTGTTTCTTGCTACCAACCATACTATTTACCAGCTTCAACTCCACTTAATGTTTATATACTAACTACACTCACCTTTCCTGTAAATAGAAACCACATGTTTTAGCTGTATAAATCCCAACTTTAACCGAATTGTCCAATTTTCTCATGTTCAGTCTTGAAATAAAAAAGATTTCTTGTGGACTTCCTACTTTGACTTCTACCAGAGTCATCTTAGCTATGCTATTGAAATGCGCAGGGCTTTTTCGGATCTGTTGAATGGATGGCTAAACATGATTGGATTGAGTTACATGATGCTGCTATTTTTAGTGTGTAATATAATTTAGTTGTTAAATGTTTTAAAGGTGAAGGGCGGTAATGATGAATCAATCAACGCGTACATAACACTTTTTAAGTTAATTGAAAAATAAAAGAAGCATAATGAAATACATACCAATAGAAACAAATCGAGTGCACCCCACATATCTGCAAAAGACAATGATTGGAAAAAGATCAACAACAATCAAATGAAGTATTGCCAAACAGATCTTTGAAACCACTGGATACACCATGAAACAGAATTTTCAGAAATTTGAAGTTATGAAAGTATATAAGATATCTCATAGCTTTAAGTGTTTAATACGTGTCATCGATACAAATGATCAATCTTTCCTAATCTCTATCTGGGACTTTTTTATTTTCAAAATTAGTACTCATTACAATAAAAAAGTAAATTAAAGAATAATAAACCAGTATTATTTTGATGTACTATAGCAGATTACAAATAAAGCTTGAAATTATAAGAGTATATAAAGCTGTGTTTAATAAAGTTTTATTCTCGCAAGACTCTTCAATGTTGGAATTATAACATGAGAAGCAGACAACAGTGCTTTGTCCAATATCTTCAACATATAGAATTATAACGTAAATTAATTCATTTGATGACCTAAGTTAAAGATTACCTCTCATCAGCCCAGTATTAGCAACAACGATCATATCATAGATCTGCACTCTAAGATTATATATTCATGAGATTAAGCTTTATAGGAAATTTTTATATGAATCATAAATAGCTAACTCAACAACAGAGAAAATCATTGAAATCGATGACAACCATACCTCAAATCTCATTTGGTTTAAGCCACCATCTCTGGACACTGCAAAAAGGAAAAAAAGATTCACATATGGTATCAGAGTAACATTTTATCTTCAATGTTAACTACTAACTAATATTTTATCAGATTAACCATTACATTGTTCTAAATAATGTAATTAATTATTTTTTTATAATATAACCATTGATAATTTGTTATATTAATTTGTGAAATAGGCTATTTACAATGAAAGTTATTTTACCTTTTATTCCCCAAGTCATAAAATGTGTATTTACGGGAGATTTTCTTCGATATGGTCATGTCCTGTATGAAAAATAAATTAATAAATTCTTAATATTCTTCATAAATATATAAAATCATAATATAAATGAAAACAAATTATACCTGAACGTAAAACTTGTTTGTAGACCACATTTTTAGTCATCCTATTTTGTTCTGCACTCGTGTTGGGTTTTATTAAGACTTTCGTCGTATGCATTGAAGTTCCCCGAGAGAGTGCAACATATAATTGGCCGTGCGAGAACACTGATTGAGGCAAATAGATTCCAACATTTGGGATGGTCTGTCCTTGTGCTTTATTGATGGTCATGGCAAAACAAAGTGTGATTGGGAATTGTTTGCGTTTGAAAATGAATGGATAGCCTTCATTTTCAGCTGGTGATAATGGTATTCTAGGTATGAAGACATGTTTTCCAGCATACTGTCCAAATACAATTTCTGCATCAATCACATTATTCTTGAAATCTCTACAGACCATCCTTGTCCCATTGCATAATCCGTTGGATGAGTCCAAGTTTCTCAAAAGAATAATGGGACAATCTCTTTTTAGGACCAACTTATGAGGCGGCAATCCATTGGGAGTTAAAGAATTCAAAAAGTCTTCCTCGTAATGGTTGTTCGAATCATCAGCTGCTTCATCAAAGCTGGCAAATAATTTTTCTTCCCCTGGAAAGATAGATATCAATTTATCATTTAACCTATCCACATGATCATTTTTAGGGGTGAGTATTGCACGACATGCCATGTATTCAGCCGACTTCGCATTTTGTTCCAAATTTGGAAAAATGATGTTTATAAGTCGTTGTAATGAATCATCCTCATTGTCATAATCAATAATCATTTCTTCCGGAACTTCAATATTACCTTCTGTGTCAGATGGTTCCTCACCATTTCCAACTCTAAGTAAGAACTTACTAAAGGCAGGATCGTTCCTTGACCTCATGTTCTTGGACAAGGAAATCTTCTTCATTTTGGGCCACAATCTTGACTTCACTAAACTTGCAGATATTGTTTGTTGGATTGTTGCCTTTGGGACCACTGGTAAAACTTGCCGGAAATCACCACCGAGAACAACTACTTTCCCTCCAAAATCTTGAGTATTTCCCATTACGTCTTGCAATAAAGAATGAACATACTCTATCGCCCATCGTTTCGCCATTGGTGCTTCGTCCCATATTATTAATCGTGCCTTGCGTAACAACTCGGCAACTCCACTCTGTTTTGACATACTGCCTTTAGTTCCTTCACTCACATCTATTGGTATTTTGAAACGTGAATGTGCTGTTCTTCCACCAGGCATAATTGCAGCAGCAACTCCAGATGTTGCAGTAGCAAGGGCAATCATATTTTTGGATCTAAGATGAGCTAACAATGCACGGTACAAGAATGTTTTTCCAGTTCCTCCTGGTCCATCAATGAAGAATATGCTCCCCTTTCCGCTGTTTACACAATCCAAAACCAATGAAAAGGCTTTATGTTGTTGATCATTCAACATTCCCACAGCTGCATAATCTTCAGGAGGCACTTCAATCGAAAGTTCGTCTTGAACTTCTCTGTAATTATCATCATACATCTTAATCAAATCTATGGGTAAATTTGAAAGATCGTAGTGACATACACTTTTTCCCATACTCTCCAAGTAAAAGTTTATACTGTTTAAAGTCTTGGCGGCATATACTTCTTCCGATGCATTTTTATCTCTTCTGAAATCTTCAGACATTGCATGAAAGTATGTATTCCATAGTACTTTCTCATTCGTTGGAGCACAATGCACCAACAGGATTGCAAATAACCTTCTCAATTCACTTGGCATTTGAAAAGTCACCGCTTCATTCAAACATTCAAAAATATTTTGGTCAGATTCAAGTAATCCCCTTTTTTGAGCTGCTTCTTTGTAAGAATGACAAAAAACATTATCTACAGTTGCTAAATCTTGAAAAGATGTTGGTCCCCTGACATGATTCAAGAGCAGCTTCTCATAATATCTTTCCCCTTCATTTGGATTTGCACTATTCACGCGACCAATAACATCTCTTTGAATTCTTTTACTCCAACATCTTTCTGTTTTCTTCCACACATAATGCTCAGGAAATTCACGATAAAGATATTTTCTTGCTTCTTCACTTTGAGCACACATTGAGAAATACTCTGTAAGCATTGTTTTTGAATTATGTTCCCAATTCAAAACATTTTGAAGATTTTGATGTGCTCCATAAGGTACAAAGTGCTTGTCCGGAAGGTGAAGTGGCAAGTTAATAACTGCAGGGCATATATCATTCATGCTAAATTCAAATATCCTCCATGCTGCTTCTTGAGCAGATACCCATCGTGCATCTTGAAACTCTCTTATTTCATCGACCAACTTTTCATCAGTAATGTGGGTAATATTAACTGCCACTCTGTCATGCCCTTTATATATGTATTTATACAGATACTTCACGGCTGTAATTCCTGAACATATCTCCACATTTATGTGGCAATTATATCTTGATAGCAGATAAGGATTGTATGGCACTACCCACTGATTGTCTAGTTCAGCATTGCGAACTTTAACATTTAATCCATTATTCCATCTTCTGTAAATCGGGTATCCATCCTTTCCTTGAACAGTCTTCTCACAAAATGCACGTGGATAATGATATTTGCATTTACCATTCAACATGCAAGAATTCTTCTCGTTCTTTTCTCCACATGGTCCATGCATCATATGTCTCACAACCATCTCAAAGAGTTTAGGGTAGATTTTATGACTGGGAAGTTCAGCAGAAACATATTTATCAAACTGATCGGGAGTCAGAATTTTATGCTCAGACTTCATGATAACCAACATATGAGCGTGTGGCAATCCTCTTTTTTGAAATTCAATTACGTGAACATGTGCAACTACTTCTCCAAATATACTCTTCTTAAACAGTTGATCCTTCAAATCTTGCAATTTTGCTCGAAACACTCTTGCCGTCAAATCCGGACGATCTTGGGCTCGTTGCCCTTCATACAATAACTCTTTTATCTCTGTCCAGTCTGGATTGCAAGTCATTGTAATGAATAAGTCTGGTTTTCCGAATCTTTGCACCAATGCTAATGCATCAAGATACCTACGACGCATATCTCTTGGTCCTCCAATAAATGATGCAGGTAACACAATTCGTTTTCCAACCTCACTTCCTCTAGTCTCTCCCTTTCTTACACTATCTTTAATTCCTTGGTATGATTCAGCCCTCATGTTTGATTGATTATAGCGATAATAATCCAATCTTGTTGTCTCCAATTTTATGTACATGTCAACAACATGCTGTTGAAATAGCCTTTTATCAAGGAGAAGTGTTGATTCTCTAGGACTTCTAATTTGCAATCTGTAGCAACTATATTCTCTGCATGACACTTTTTTGGGACTTTCTTTTCCAACAACTGTGAATAATATACAATCAATAATTAAAAAAATAATCTATAAAAATAATTTCTTTACAATAACAATTATAAATTTAAGAAAATAATAATTTATGAAATCAAATTTATTATTATGTAATGAAATGTAATTATAATATAAACTTGATAAGGAAGTTAAACAAATAAATAAAAATACAAAAAAAAAAAAAAAACCATGTAATATCCTCGTGACACATACAATTTGAATGTTTCATTAATAAAAATTGTATACCTTGGCATTCAACAGAGAGAATGTCATTTGGACAAGAAAAATTTGAGATTGATGAGACACTTGCAACATTTTTACTGCGACCTGAATATGTAATTGAAAAAGAAGAATAAAATAAATGTGATATCAATATATAAAATACAAAGTAGTTAACATAAGAAAAAAATGATATTGTACCTTGATTTTGCATACATTTTTCATCACCAGCTAACTTCCAAATCTTTTGATGCCAACCAACATCACCTTTTGGAAAAAGAAGAGGATACTGCAATGGATCATAACATCCAAAATAATGTTTTATTCTATGTCTATCACCTGAATGTGCATGGATAACAATGTCACGTTCAAAGGGAATATTAACATTATTTCCTTCAACCCATATTGCTGCGACTTGATCGGTTGTTGGACAATTATAAACGCGTTGGTCTAATTTGGCATCCTTTGAGATATGGAGTCGAACTTCACTCATTGATGGATAGTCCTTCAATCTTCTAAAAATTTTTGCATATGGGTTAACATCCAAAACACTAATGAGCTTGTTAACCGTACATTCAGATAAAGAGGAGTTTGGAAATATGGCCATTCTATTTTCGGTCTCTCGTTCGGTTTCTACAAAATACAACTGAAAATAACCAGGTCCATCTTCTTTAGGTAATAAGCTAGGAAGATCATGATACACTACTCCTTGAGCACGAAAAGTATAGACTCCTTGTCTTGCAGAAGCAAGTTCTTTATCTAATTTGACTCCTAATGATGTAAAAGAGAACATGCTGTTAAATAGACGAATATTTACTCGAAACTGTTTTGCCTCTTCCGTCTGTGAAGTGAACAGTTCATATAATTCATCAGGGACTTCAATAGGAGCAAGTTTGACTTTTCCATTAGCACAGCAAAATGTTGGACACTCGTACTGAAATTTCAGAGCACCGCAATGCATGCAATTAGACATTTTTTTCAGCTCATGTATCGCCAAACATACATGCCCTTTCATAATTGAACCTTAAAAAAATGACAGATACCAATTATTTATTAAATCACATAAATGAATGAAAGGTCTAATTTTTTTTTTCTTTATATAATAATAATAATAAAATATTAATAAGAGTATATCTATAGCAAATCACATTAAATATAATATAAACCAATAATATGTTAATATATTTTTTATTAAGTGATAAATGCAATTTTTTTTACCAAGGGAAAGTTTTATTTGTTATACTTATGGGTAAATCTAAATTAATTATAAATTACACCGAAGACATTGTTAAAGAGTATTGAAACATTTACATTTCTAAAAATATTAATCGTGGATAAATGAAATGCATGATGACAATCTAACATAATACAATCAAAAAAATTCTCAAGTATAAAAAAATATATACCACTCATTTAAATCTCATAAAAAGTTGTATATATTTTGTATTACACGATAAAATATTTCTAACCTTCCGATCCACAAGAAACTTTATCGGTATCAAGACATGCATCACCCATATTTTGGCCCTTGCGACGTTTATTTGTTTTATCAATATACGTTTGCTTATCATAAGCAGTTAAATCGTTGTATCTTTTTTTCATCTTTGCCGCATTTCGACGCCGGTATACATCCTTCGCTGTGATATAAATGTGAAAAAGAAAAAGATATATTAATAAGTGTATAACTTTCATACTTTTAATGTGAATTTATGTTAATTATTATGTTATAAAATAATTAAAAAATATCATATTAATAAATAAATATATATATTAATTACCTGCTGACAAATCAGACGCGGATGATTTTCGTCTCATTCTACAACTTGATCCCTTACTATAAGATCTTTTAATTTGTTTCGGCTTCGTCGAGTCAAGTTAAAACTTGTCATGATCCATAATAGACTTTATTAGGCTCAAATGAAAAAGGCACAGAAATATTCAATTTAACAATATATAATATATTCTAATAGAACACAGACCAATATCAATGCCTTGCAAGACCAAATATTAACATAACATCAGTATCATCTTAATACCTACATGATTAAACTGTAATTGTAATTCATATTAAAGAGTCAAGGAATGAAGAAAAAATCCCAAAATGAGCAGGGGAAAAAGGAAATTCTTGTGCAAACAAGGATGTCCTAACGGATTTCACCCGAAACAGTGAGATGATCATCAAATAACAAACAACTTTAAAGAAAATAATTATTTGTATTAATAGTTTCCTGATACTGATTACTCATGAAAAGAAAATGTGATCTTAAGTAAGAAATAAGAAATTCAGTTTCCGATTCAGACTCTGCTCTTTGTTATCATTTTTTACAATTTCGTAAATATTGTTTAATGTGATATATTAATTAGGTTAGAAAAATAGAAAACAAGGAGTGCCCCCTATATTATCTCATGCTTAAGTTCTTAATCGTATTAATCTTGCGCCCCTTGTAAAAGAATTATTGACCCATCTGTGACTGGCAACAATTTAAAACCACTCAATAGAGGATCATTTCTGCTTCTCGTGTCAATTTATAAACTGCTCAATAATTAAGTCCTGACCAGGACAGAGAATCTACTGGCAGATTGATTAAGCAATATACTCAATTAAATCTAAAAGTACAATCCCATATTTGGCACATGAGTTCCATTTCCCCTCCTATGCCCAACACCACCTATCAATTTCATAACAGGTAATATGATAAAAGCAGTAAAAAACAACAGAGACAGAAAAAAAGGCTAAAAATAAAAAGCAAAGCCAAAGGAGTACAAAGGTCTCCCATCTGTATTACCCAAATAACAACCCACTGCCCAATTGTTCACCTCAATTGAATCCCATTCAGAAACTTCCTATTGCGACTCTCAGCTAACACTTTGTTTTATTGAAAAAAATTCTGCAACATCAAATATGGCTACCAGCCAATACCCAATATATAGTTCAAATACACCAAACCCATGAACAAACCAATGAATAGGGATAGGGATTTTTACCAAGTTCTCCCTGTTACGAAGTATCAATTAATTTTAATTTCAAGGCAAATAGCATAAAAACTTACGAAATTGAGGAGGTCCCGAATGAGTAATTTTGTTGGAGATCTTGCTTATGGAAGGACTGTCCGATTGCTCGCCTATTTGCCCGCCAAGACGGTCGAGATTTTTTTTGGGGACGATCGTGAAATTTTCGGTGCACAGATAGTTGAACTCGTTGGAGATCTCGCTCGGCTATTTTTTCCAGTTGCTGTGAGGATGGTGTATGACGGGAATTCGAGGTTAAAGATTTGAGCGGAGGATGGTGGTTTTCCGAGTTGCTGAGAGGAGAGTTGCTGTGAGGATGGTGTATGACGAGAATTCGAGGTTTTCCGATTTGAGCGGAGGATTGGTGTCGACTTTGTGAGTTTGTGGTTTGCCTATTGATTTGGGGCCGATATTAACTATTAATATTAATAACTAATGCAATTTAAAATTTATAGTAAAAATTTACAAATTTGCCATTTAAATTATGTTAAAGTAAGGGTTTTTTAGGTAGACTATTATTTTTACAAAATCACTCGTCCTTTTATAATAGTATAGATAGATAGATAGATGATGCTGCTTTTGCAACGATTTCCTCTTTCAAAACCGTATTCAAATTCATGTTTCATTCAACTAAATGAATGACACGTGTCCATGATAATAACACTATCCAAATTCATGTTTCATTCACTAAATATGACACGTGTCCATGATAATGTTACTATCGTAGATGCGCCAGTCATCTAAAAGAAAACTATACATGAATTGAAACACGATTTTGGAACAAAAATCTTTTTCTAAATCTAATCTCAGAAAATGTTCATGTTCACAAACATTATTAATTCCATCCATTCATAGTAGGAAGCAAATGTTATCTAGCATAAAAGGTTCAGTAGCAACATAAATAGTAGAAGATACAGATACAATCTAACATTTAGTGCAACACATAAACTTCATACAGCACAATGTTTCTTTTAGAGGAATTAAAAACATAAGCACCGAAAGAAGGTTCACATTGTCGAGCTACTACTCAAAAGACTTTAGGGGGTCGTTTGGATCGATATCATCTAGGAGTGGGAGATCGGATGGCAAAGTATCGGGCCTTATTTGTTTCTCCCTTAGCCGCGCAATCACTTCCTCGAACACAACCTTATTCCCATCTCGAGTGAGATGCAATCCATCCCTGAATTTCAAAGGACATTATTAAAAAAGCTAAATTTGATCTAAGAAATATATATAAAAAAAAGCAGTTACTACGGTTTCGAAGTATCAAATTTTTGTGATATTCCACATGAAAAATTTCAGAATAAGGTACACGAAAGAGCACCTCAAATAAGCCGTTTGCCAACCAGGAAACTCCTGCATTTTCCCCCACAGATCTATAGAAGAGACGCCACATTCAGCCGCAACTGCAAGGCATTGTTTGGCATACGCGCCAGCAAACTCATTGGTCCTCTCGGGAATTCCGGGCACGTTGCCGGGATAAGGGTACCTGAAAGAAAAACATTCTTCTATCATAATTGTCCATAAATATTAAAAATAAGGCAAAATTGTCCTTATCGCAACCTTTTTTCAAAATTGCAATTTCATCACGACCTTTCCACTTTTGCAATTTTTTCAATTTGTTGCAAATCGGTGCACCGATTCGCAGAACTCATGCAAATTATATCACAATCTTCAGTTTGTTCCTTTGCTATATCAGCTTTTCTAGGTCTGGTTTTCAGAACCCGTGCACCGATTTGCATCAAACTGAAGATTGTGATATAATTTACAAAAGTGAAAATGTCGTGATTAAATTGCAATTTCAACAAAAGTCGTCATATTATGGACAATTTTGTATTTTTTTTATCACATAGGTTCATAGTTAGAGAAAAAAAATTACGAATAGCAATAGGAAGAGCGAAAAGTTTACAGGATGCGTGCTTGCTCGTCAATTGGAGGTGGTGTGATGAGGATAATGTGAGTCGATGGCCATTGCTTCTGAAGTCATCAGAGGGTATGTTAGCAAAACAATTATCAGACTCGAGGGAGAAATCAAGATATGCAGAAAGAAGAAAAAAAAATCGATTTTCTATTGAGATCAATGTACTAATATTTGTCACTCATATCGCCAATCGAAAAATGGCTATTTTTCCACTTGACCTTTGCCATTCGGCTGCGTGACCAGCTTGTGGTAATTTTGTTATGTTTTAATTGGAATTTAACCATATTATGCCTATTATTTTGATGATCACATACACCATTAATGGTGTTCTTCCTCCGGAGGTTTTTCAATAATGGTGGATTTTACATCCCATTGATATTGTAAATGTTGCTCTTTTCTTATTTGGAGCAACATATATGCTCTTCACTCATTAAAACATGAATGTATAATACACTTGCATATATTAAAGTATTTTTTATACTACATTTTTATTTAGTTGTACAAACACTACTTATAATGATAAGTAAAATGCTAGGGTAATATTTCAAGTATAGTAAAAGATACCGGCACATGAAGTACAACTGTACAAGTATACTAGTGAACGTCACATAATCACAGAAAATTCGATCCTACGAGAAAGGGTATTACCCTCACTATCTAATGACCAATGAAAAAATGCCAAGTGGCATTTCTAATAATTTTTAAACATATAGATTACTATGAGAAAACCGGTTTACACTATCGCTACCATAGGTAAATTTCTACTAAAAATAATAGTAGAAATAACTTTAGACATATAATAAAGATATTTTAGGAAATTCATGAGTCAACCACCAATCTCAGAATAAATAGGAACAATTATAGAAATAATAAATAAAACTCAATTAGAAACATTTGAAAAATTAGACGAAATAAAAGAATTAATAAAAGAACTACAAGATTTAGTACAAAAAGAGAAAACACAAAAAAATTATTTAACCCAATTCAAATAGAACCGCCAACAAGTTCTAATGGACATAGATAGATTAACTCAACTATTAGAAAAATGTAATATTGAAGAAACTAGAATGACAAAAATAGATGATGAGGATAAACAGGGAATAATCTACGGAATAGATAGTGAAGATGAAGAACCAACATTTAATATGACTGATCAAAAATCTTATACAACATCGCCATTATCACCAAAACGACCTAGAACAAATAATAATGAAGCATCTAGTTTACAAAATAATTACGTAGAAAGTAGTTTTAGAGATTTTATATATAGAAATGATTATAGTTATCATAAAAAAAATAAAGAAAAATATACCATCAGCCTATTTTAGAAAAAGAAAGAAATATATCTAATGGAATATTAAATATATACTGTACAACCAATGCAGAAGATTTAATAGTCACTTGAACTAATCAATTAAAATTACTAGTTCAAACTAATGATTCAATGATAAATGGAATGCCATTAACAGATTTTCTTAATTATACAAGATATAAAACATTCGGAGTATTATTCGACTATCTAGAAAATACTCGAATTTTATTAAATTCTGAAGCTAATGGTTTAGAAACAAGAGCAGAATACAAAATAGCACCATTAAAAAAATTAGCAAAGGATCTATTAAAAGAATTTTTAAGAATTACAGGACAAGAGTCAAAGGAAGCACAAAAATATAATGTAATTAGATTTCTAACAAACATGAAGTTATGCAATGTATACTACATAGAAATTTTTTTCTGTCAAGTAAGAGAAAATTTCTATAAAACTAAGGATCGGGCATGACTAATAGAAATAGTTGAAAGTAAACTTAAACATGAAATGAATAAATATATTCAGAAGAAAATCAGTGAAACGAGAGAAGAAAAAACATTAGGAATTTTAGAAAAATATGTGAAAGAATATTTTTTTTTTCCCGAAATGTGAAAGAATATAGAGATGAACTTTGTATAAGAAAATTAGAACACCACGAAATGGGTGGTAAAATCACTCCAAGATGTTATAAGCAATTAGAAAGCGTACCACAAGAATTTGATTGTTATAACCCACACAAAAAGAAAAGATAACATAAATACAATAAGTTTAATAAACGATATAGACCAAGAAGATATAAGACATTTAGAAAACCATGAAAACTAAAATATAAAGGAAAATTTAATACTTAGAAAAGCTAAATATTGCCCTAAAGGAAAAAAGAATTGCAGGTGTTGGAAATGTCAAGAAATAGGACACTATGCAAATGAATGTCCTAAAAACATGTCAGAAAAAGAAAAGAAGATAAAAATGATATTTTCTTTAGGATATGAACCTATAGAAGAAGAATACGAATAAGGTGAACTATTAGTCTTTGATATATATGATTTAGAATCAGAAACATATAGCGATCTAGAATCATCTGAATCAGAAAATGAGTAAAAATAGTTCATTTATAAAAGTTAAATTATTTAACAAATTTCTACTAGCATATATAGACACATGTACAACGATATGTCTAGCAAAAGAATCTATATTACCTAGTAAATATTGAAAGAAATTAGACAAACCAATTATAGTGAGAATTGCAAATAATAAGATAATAAGTATTGATTATAGAGAACCATATTTAGTATTGTTAATAGAAGAAAACGATTTCCTTTACCAAGTCTTTATAAACAAAATACAGATTTTATCATTAATAATTGGAAATAACTCTCTTAAGCTATACAATCCATTTATTTAAAGATTTTATAGTAAAGAAAAAATGGGGTAGGTTCGATGCTACCCCCATGGGTAGTGACCGCATGGTGTGGCAGTAGCATTTTTGCTATTTTATGAGATTGTTATTATATGCTTTTTAAAGTAATTGTTACTTGTTTTTGCATTTTTATTAATCTTTTTATTTTTTGTTCACTTTTTATCATCATGTCATAATAAAGTTCTAAACCTGTAATTTCATGTAAATAAGTATATCTTATTATATCTGCTTTTATATTTGTATTTCTCATCCTATATCAAAATATATTTTCTTGTACTCATTTTACTTTTAAATCGTAGTCTAGCTCTGATACCATTTTTTCTTTACTATTTGACTCATCTTGTTGTAATTTTTTATTTGTCTTAATAATCTTTTAAAAGTTAAAACAATCTTCGAAAGAAATAGTTGTGTTTTTTTCTTCTAATGTTTTTATTCTATTTTCTATTTGTTCTAGATTTTCAACAATAAGCTGATTAATATCAGGTTCTTCTTTATGTTTTTCTATATATTTTTTGATATCTTTGTTTAAGAAATCAATCAATCTAGTAAAATTATTTCTAACAATACTTTTCTTTTCAAAATATTGAAATTCACTATCAAATTGAACTCTACAGATAGAAAGAAATTCGTTCAATCTTTGTGTATCTGAAAAACCTCGTTTTTCTTTTTGAAAATATTTCAGGTCTGATCTTATATACTCATTTCTTTGCAAACATTTTATATTATCGTTTTAGGAGGTCCTATTTTATGTAATTTCTTAAATTTTTGCTTATACCTTTGTATATCATAATCTAGTTGTTTAATTTTTGTTCATCTTTTTCTATATATTTATATTGAATAATTTTTTCTATTAAATAATCTACTTCTTTGTTTCCCCTTCTTTCCAGTTCAGATAATTCAAGTTTATACCTCTCCTATCCATTATTACAAATTCTATATTTTATTATTTATATTTATTACTAATGGGCTTAACTCATTTACTTGTTTATTTAATTTTTCTATTTCTATGTCCCTTTTATATAAACTACTACTACTATGAGGTTCTTCAATTTCTTGAATTTTTAATAAATTCTTTTCAGTTAGTTTTCCTAAATTTGTAGGATTACTAAATAATCTCCTACTATATTCTCTTAAAAATTCCTTTTGGATGCTATCATTTTTAATAATAGTACTAGTTTCGTTAAATATTTTTTTCTATATATATATATTCTTTCTTGATTTTGATAATTCATGCTCAAACTATTATTACTTAATGCATAGGCTATTCAATAACAAACAATCATAGGTATGTCTCCTGATTCCATTAATGTTTTTTATTGAAAACTACACATTATTCATATGCAGTTATTAATTTTATTAGTCGATAATTGTATGGGAAGTTGTAATGATATATTAAACTTAATTAGTCCATACCCGAAATCTCCTTCTATTTCCCCCAACTTTCTTGATTCTTCATGCATAACTTTATTATCTTCAACTTTTATATTTAAGGGTGTCTTAATTGCTTCTCTAAATGTTGATCGTAATACTATGTGTACTGTGTTTATGTGTATATAACTTATCTTTTTCCTATCTTCTTCTTTTATTTTTTCTAATCTATTTTCTATTTGATTTATTTCAACTAAGGGTGCTTGAAAATTATAATTTGCTTCTTCTATTCTAATTAGTTGTTCTCCATTCATTATTCCGTAATGAATTGTATTTTTTCTATTCAATTTTTCTAGTATACCATTATTTATTCCTTCTTTCTTTTGTAAATCTAAATTTCCTTTATTTTTTTACTTTTGTTACTAGTTTTTTATCTAATAATATATCTGATAAGTAATACCTTGTTCTTCTATATAACTTGGCATTCGCTTTCCATTATTTAGTTTTGGCTGTCTAACTTGGCTTTGTTCTTATTTCTAGATCTATTATTTTTGGGTAAATGCATCCTTTTTATAATATGTATAAGTCTCGTAATGTTTTTAGTTTCGTTTTTCTACTTAGACCAACATCCATCAATGTTTCAATCATTTGTGAAGACACATAATAACTCATTTTTCTACTATTCAAGTTCTTTTTCTATGTCTTTGTAATACAATTTATTATAGGTATTCTGTATTCTTGATCTTCAATATTAATTCTCTTTTATCCATACTCCATACAAATTGTTTTAAGAAGTCGATTCCTAATAATACTGATTTATGTTCTTGATTCTACTTGCTGCTAACTGTGATTTCTATTATCATACTTATATCTTTACTGGATATTATTTCAATTTCAGATACCTTTTGTATTATTTTCTTCATTTTTATTGCATTTTTCAGGATTGATTTCTATATCTATAATTTCTCTAGCTAAATCTATACTTATGTGACTATTACAAGCTCCTGTATTTATAAGTACTGCAACTAACTTCATATTTACTAATGCAACAACATGATATTGATTATGGTTCTATTTTCTTAAACAAACTTTTACTTGCTTCATATTTTCTTTATATCTTGAATTTTCAAATATGTTTTGTAAGAGAGAAATAATAAGCTTGGATAAGAATATACCTTCTTTTGTTAGCTAATCTCTTCAAGGACACCTTTTCGTCTTCTTGGCCTATACTCAATCTTCAGCAACGACCTCGACTATCTGGGTTGTGTATTCGTCCCTCCAGAACATTTTAACAAACTTTAGAACATTTTCTTTTCTTGCTTATTATTTCTGAGTGTATTTAGTTACACATAATGTATGAAACACAAATTTTTTATTTCATAAGGAAGATTACAAGACTCAAATTTTTCATACAAACTTGAGCTCTGCCTTTGGATGACAAAGTCTCGACTCTTAAATAGGCGCTAGATAAGGACATGTCCCTGTCTTACGCGTTTACGATAAATGATCGTTGTGAAGCGACAAGTCACATCGAATTTATTTATGATAAGATAAGATGGTGATAATTACATCTACCTACTGCATTATTGTCAATTTGTTTGACAATTACATCCACCTTCTGCACTATTGTCAATTTGTTTGACAATTACATCCACCTACTGCATTATTGTCACTTTGTTATCCACCTACTACATTATTCTTCAATGGGTTCGATTTCTTCTTGAGTTGGCCAACAAATATCACATGTATAATATTCTGCAAATTCTTCTTGTAACTTGATGCAGACTTCTTGCTTAATTGACTTGGGTATTTCATACTTGATTTGAATGAGTCGTTCCATAAATTTGTTCAGTATTTCAACATCTAAAGGCATTGGTGGCCTTGCTTGCAAACTCCATAATAAAACAATTGGGACGAATAATTAATCCTTCCTTTTACTTTAATGCGTTTTCCGAGTATAATCACATAATTGTTCAAATAATGTGTTAACTCGTCTTCGTGCTTCGCTATTCCCAAATCTGGATAATTTCCATTACTAACACCAATTTGGCATAATTGTATTGCCGACTGTATAACTTCTCCCTCATCAGAAAAGATACGAATTGTTGCGAATATTTTCATAAATCCTTTCTTTTTATTGAGAAGCTTACTAGAATATGAGTGAATAGCTTGTGCGAACTTAGTCGGAAAATACTGAAAGATATCAGTACTTCTGAAATATATGCAACTGAGTAACCCGGATTGAAACATAATATATGTTTTTATTGGGTCTGCTTTTGGTAGACTGGTTGCTTTAGGTCATGTAAAATGACTTTCAACAAGATCGATACTCGTTGCTTTATCTTTGTTCGAATAATTAAGGAGAAAATTATATTCTACCTCAAATAATTTTCTTGTTAGCTTAGTGTTTTCTTCTTTCTGTTGTCTGGTCTGAATCTGATCAATGGTAAGTTGTCTGGGACTAGGAATTTTTTCAAGTACTGGTAACTTCTTTTCCAATGTAACATCATTTGAAAAGATGTTATTAGTACTTGGAAAAAATTCAAGTCCCAGGCAACTTACCATTGATCAGATTCAGACCAGACAACAGAAAGAAGAAAGCACTAAGCTAACAAGAAAATTATTTGAGGTACAATATAATTTTCTTCTTAATTATTCGGACAAAGATAAAGCAACGAGTATCTATCCTGTTGAAAGTAATTTTACAGGACCTAAAGCAATCAGTCTACCAGAAGCAGACCCAATAAAAACATATCCTATGTTTCAATCCAGGTTACTCAATTGAATATACTTCAAAAGTACTGATATCTTTCAGTATTTTCGGACTAAGTTTGCACAAACTATTCACTCATATTCTAATAAGCTTCTCAATAAAAAGGAAGGATTTATGAAAATATTGGCAACAATTCTTATCTTTTCTGATGAGGGAAAAGTTATACATCCGACAATACAATTTGGCTCCAAATTGGTGTTAATAATGGAAATTTATCCAGATTGGGGAATAGCAAAGCACGAAGACGAGTTAACACATTATTTGAACAATTATGTGATTATACTCGGAAAAAACATTAGAGTAAAAGGAAGGATTAATTATTCGTCTCAGTCTGTTTTATTATGGAGTTTGCAAGCAAGGCCACAATGCCTTTAGATGTTGAAACACTGAACAAATTTATGGAGCGGGTCATTCAAATCAAGTATGAAATACCCAAGTCAATTAAGCAAGAAGTCTGCATCAAGTTAAGGGAAGAATTTGCACAAGATCATACATGCGACATACGCTGTCCAAATCAAGATGAAGAAATCAAAACCATTGAAGAATAATGTAGTAGGTGGATAACAAATGCAGTATGTGGATGTAATTATCAAACAAATTGACAATAATGCAATAGGTGGATGTAATTGCCAAACAAATTGACAATAATGCAGTAGGTAGATGAAATTATAAACATCTTATCTTATCATAAATAAAGTAGATGTGACCTCTCGCTTCACGACAATCACTTATTGTAAACGCGTAAGACAGGGACATGTCCTGATCTACGCCTATTTAAGAGTCGAGACTTTGTCATCCAAAGGCAAAACTCAAGTCTGTATGAAAAATTCGAGTCTTGTAATCTTCCTTATGAAATAAAAAATGTGTGTTTCATACATTATGAGTAACTAAATACACTCAGAAATAATAAGCAAGAAAAGAAAACGTTCCAAAGTTTGTTAAAAAGTTCTTAGAGGGACGAATACACAACCCAGATAGTCGAGGTCATTGCTGAAGTTTGAGTATAGGCCAAGAAAACGAAAGGGTGTCCTTTAACAAATTAGCTAACAAAGGAAGGTATATTCTTATCCAAGCTTATTATTTCTCTCTTCCAAAACATATTTGAAAATTCAAGATATAAAGAAAATATGAAGCAAGTAAAAGTTTGGTTATGGAAATAGAACCATAGCCAATATCATGTTGTTGCATTAGTAAATATAAAGTTAGTTGCAGTACTTATAGATACAGGAGCATGTAATAGATAAGTATAGATTTAGCTAGAGAAATTATAGATATAGAAATTAATCCTGAAAAATGCAATAAAAAGGAAGAAAATAATACAAAGGTATCTAAAATTGAAATAGTATTCAATAAAGTTATAAGTATGATAATAGAAATAGTAGTTAGCAGCAAGAAGAATCAATAACATAAATTAGTATTATTAGGAATCGACTTCTTAGAACAATTTGTATGGAGTATAAATAAAAGAGAATTAATATTAAAGATTGAAGATCAAGAATACAGAATACCTAGACTAAATTGTATTATAAAGACATAGAAAAAGAACTTAAATAGTAGAAAAATGAGTTATTATGTGTCTTCACAAATGATTGAAACATTGATGGATGTTGTTCTAAGTAGAAAAACGAAACTAAAAACATTACGAGACTTAGACATATTATAAAAAGGATGTATTTACCCGAAAATAATAGATCTAGAAATATAAACAAAGCCAAGTTAGACAGCCAAAACTAAAGAATGGAAAGGAAATGCCAGGTTATAGAAAATATAGAACAAGCTATTTACTTATTAGATATATTATTAGATAAAAAACTAGTAACAAAAATAAAAAATAAAGGAAATTTAGATTTAGAAAAGAAAGAAAGAATAAATAATGGTATATAGAAAAAATATAATACATCACGGAATGATGAATGGAGAACAAACAATTTGAATAGAACAAGCAAATTATATTTTTCAAGCACCCTTAGTTGAAATAAATCGAATAGAAAAGAGATTAGAAAAAATAAAAGAAGAAGATAGGAAAAAGATAAGTTATATACACATAAACACAGTACAAATAGTATTACGATCAACATTTAGAGAAGGAATAAAGACACACGTAAATATAAAAGTTGAAGATAATAGAATTATGCATAAAGAATCAAAAAAGTTGGGGGAAATAGAAGGAAATTTAAGGTATGGAGTAATTAAGTTTAATATATCATTACAATTTCCCATACCATTATCGACCAATAAAATTAATAACTGCATAATGTGTAATTTTCAAGAAAAACATTAATGAAATCAGGAAACATACCTATGGTTGTTTGTTATTGAATAGCCTATGCATTAAGTAATAGTAGTTTGAGCATGAATTATCAAAATTAAGAAAGAATATATATAAAAAAAATATTTAATATGAAACCAATACAATTATTAAAAATGATAGAATCCAAAAAGAATTTTTAAGAGAACATAGTAGGCGATCATTTTGTAATCCTACAAATTTAGGAAAACTAACTGAAAATAATTTATCAAAAATTCAAGAAATTGAAGGACCTCATAATATTAGTAGTTTATATAAAAGGGACATAGAAATAGAAAAATTAAATAAACAAGTAAATGAGTTAAGCTCATTAGTAATAAATATAAATAATAAAATATAGAATTTGTAATAATGGATAGGAGAGATATAAATCTTGAATTATCTGAACTACAAAGAAGGGGAATCAAAGAAATAGATTATTTAATAGAAAAAATAATTCAATATAAATATATAGAAAAGATAACAAAAATTCTAACAACTAGATTATGATATACAAAGGTATAAGCAAAAATTTAAGAAATTACATAAAACGATAAATATAAAATGTCTGCAAAGAAAGAAGTATATAAGATCAGACCTGAAAATTTTTCGAAAAAAAAAACAAGTTTTTCAGATACACAAAGATTAAAGGAATTTCTTTATAACTGTAAAGTTCAATTAGATAGTGAATTTAAATATTCTGAAAAGAAAAGTAATGTTATAAATAATTAAACTAGATTGATTGATTTCTTAAACAAAGATATCAAAAAATATATGGAAGAACATAAAGAAGAACCTGATATTAATCAACTTATTCTTGAAAAACTAGAACAAATAGAAAATAGAATAAAAACATTAGAAGAAAAAAGCACAACTATTTCTTTCGAAGATTGTTTTAACTTTTAAAAAGATTTTTAAGACAAATAGAAAATTACAACAAGATGAGTCAAAAAATAAAGAAAAAATGGTATCAGAGCCAGACAACGATTTAAAAGCAAAATGAGTACAAGAAAAATATAATTTGATATAGGATGGAAAATACAAAATATAAAAGTAGATATAATAAGATATACTTATTTACATGAAATTACAAGTTTAGAATTTTATTATGACATGATGATAAAAAGTGAAAAAAAAAATTTAATAAAAATACAAAAAAAAGTAACAAATTACATAAAAAAAGCATATAATAACAATATCATAAAATAGCAAATAGCAAAAATGCTACAATGGTACCGTTGGGCCACTACCCATGTGGGTAGCATCGAACCTACCCATAATCACATTAGAAAGTGGATGAAATAAATTTAATTTGTTGACCATTGGTGCCAAAGCTTGCTAGTTTATCAATTACAAATTTGTGTGAGTTTAATATATGTTAAATGCATATAGACGTTACCTTTCGGAAAGTTTATTATATTCATCTTGGCTTACTTTTTGGATGCAAAAGTTATCAATTATATATTTTCTAATATAAGCTTTAGACCGTTTATCATTAAGTCTATGTATTATTATATTTATCTAGTCTTGGTAATATATTACCCAACTAAATTATAGTGTTACATTGGAGAGTTGGACCAAATGAATATCCACCGCTCAATAAACAAGGTGAATAAAAAAAACCAATTAAATTAGAAATATAGTTAATTTTTATTATTTTAAAAAATAAATATGTATAGCGCGCGCAACTTAAAAATGTGAAATCATATTTAAAATAGAAATGGTAACTCGTTTCTATTTAATTAATGAATAAATGATGTATAATTCCTAGACATGTGAATCGTGAATAGATGAGGTGACAATGATACGCAATATATGGTTGTACCTTGAAATATGCGATAAGAGCTTGGAGATTTTGCTTGTACTCTTCCAGCGGCACGTGTTGAAATTTGCTAGATCTATCGGGTAAACAAGCATCATTTGCACCGAAAAATATGGTAATCGCCGCTGCTTCTTTCTCAATTTCCGTAGATGGAAACACTCTTTCTATTATCTTTAAAGCCCATCTTGTGTTATATCCACTGTACCCTCTCAAAACTATATCAGCCTGCAAATTTTGAATATTAGAATGAAATCTAAAGCGCACAGCATTTAAAAAGGAAAGATAAATTAAAACACATTTTATTACTAATACCGTGCGAGCAAAGTGATCCGCCAGTGAAGCGCCCCATCCTCCGTCGCTGAATGATTCCTCAGTTATCGAATCTCCAAACAGATAAATCTTTGGTCTCATTTTTTGATTCAAATTTTTACTGAAAAAAAAAAAAGGAGCTATGGGAAGTGGAAAGAAAAAGTGGTAAGTCAGAGGTAGTTTGGTTTTGTGTGGGGAAGTTTCGATCTTATAAATAAGTATAATATCAGCATATAGCTGGCATAATAATATGAGCATAGCTGGCATAATAATATGGCACATTATAAAATAATTTCATTCTTTATTATTAATACATATTAATTAGGGATAAATATGTACAGAATGTAAATAAATAATGATTTTTTTTTTGTTCCAAACGGCAAACACTTTAATAACTAGAAAACTCAAAAACAATATAGAGGATGTGTCAACCGACACCAAGGAACTAGATTACCTAAATCTATCCCTTGAAATTTTAGAAGAACTAGTTTTTAACCCGTGCATTTGCACGGAAAGCAATATAATAGAACAAAAAATAATATAAAGATATAAACAATAGAAAAATCATAATATAATTATTGAAAAAATATTCTAAGAAAGAATAATTAAATATTGTTAAACAATTCTGTATATACAACGTTTCTGATTTTTCTATCAACAAAATCTCAATCACTACAAATCACTATCTTCAAATTAAGACATATAATGGTTTTATTTTTTAAAATAATTATTGTATTTTGTACTATAGATCATATAGGAATTTTTTTAAAAAAAAATACTAAAAAAATACTAGCAAAATATTACAAAATAAATAATTGTATTTGGTTGATAAATAATGATATGTGCCAAATATTTAAGACATTTGAACAAAATGACAATATTTGGGCCATAAAGAAATATATTGATTGAATGATAAAAAAAACCCAAATTAGAAGTCCACTTAATTTTTTAGGGTAGCCAAAATCAAATATAAAACAGGTCAATAATAACATGACTATAAATAGAGATAAACTTCTTGAGAGTGATGCAAGCCATTTTTTTTTGTTTGATGTCAGCGCTTCTCTCGTTATTCACTCTTTCTGAAACCCTAATCCTTAACTCGATCTTAAGAGAAACTCGGCGAGATTCAATACAAAACAAATGTTTTACCGGAAATTTTCTCCCGATAAAGGCTTAAAAAATTAAAAGAAATATCCGAGAAATGTTGTTTTTGTGGCCAACAGTAGTGATCGAAAAATAAATATTCGTCCCGATTTCTTAATCCGTGTTGCTAAATCTTAACAGGTCGGTCAAAATCGGGCGATAATATTACAAATCTATGATGAGCTGAAATATTTTTTGTTAAACGTAGTTTTTATTTTTTATTATTTTCAATGATCTGTGTCGTTTTTCGAAATTCTTTGTGAATAAGCTTCAAAGATATATCATATTTTATACATCATTCGAAATTATTTAGATGTTTTTCGAAATCATTTTTCGAAGAGAACATGACATTGGTCGAACTTTTTTAAACTTTCATGTATTTTGTTCAGGGTTTGAAAAAATAGGTAAGTTTGTAACAAATCTGTTTATAACATACATATGTAACTTTTATGCATTTTGTTCAGATTTTGAACGCTAAATAGTTCAATTCTTTCTCGTCTTTCTCATCACATCAATATATGAAGCTTTGCTAACACTTGTTCAAAATTGCTTTTCGAAGTTGTTCAAAGTCTTTTGCCGAAGTTTTTCAAAGTTTTTAGTATTTTGTTCAAAATTTGGAAATATTAGGTAAGTTTATAACAAATCTGTTTAGATATATTTATCGCATATTAGGAATTTCTTGTTTAATGTTTAAAAGAATCTGTAAATTTCTTGATTAATGTTTAAAAGAATATGTAGGAATTTTTATTTTTAAAACTTTTACGCAAAAAATTGATTTTAATATAAAGGCAGATGTCTTGGTAAAAGTTGAATGTGTTGATAATGATTGGGAAATCAAATTATTTTTCTGTTTATATTGTATAGTGTCCAATAATGTTCCACATAATTTGCTGTATTTTTAATTTTTATTTTTTCATATAGATTTGAATTTTTTTTGTTCATTATTAATTATGCTTAATATTCCTATATTATGCAACAATCTATCATTACATACAATGCCTTGTCAATCCTCATTATTTGACTTTGCCAATTTCCGTTTAATATGACTTTTCTGTTGCTGAAAGTATGGTTTTTAATGCATTAAAATATTGATATTTTGGATATGTTTTGATACTTTATAATCATGCAGAAATTTGTCCCGCCACTTTTTTTCTTAAAGAGAAATTGTTTAATGAAAATTATTTATATTTATATTTATAATTGTGAAATAATATTTTTTTTCACGGCCAACAGTTTTTTTTAATGAAAAATATGAGACAATTTATTCAGCATACTTTTTAATTTATAAAACAGAATGCGATAATCAAATCTGCAGAAATCATGAATTTTATTGAATAGTAGTAATATAAAATATTTTATTATTACTACCAAATGGAAAGTCAAAGATAGTTAATTTTGCACTATTAATTATGATCATATGGATTTTTTTTATACATATGTTTTCTCAATGAACTTTTTAAATGATAATATTGACAATATAGACTTTGCTATAATAATTATATAGACTGTGCTATAATAATAATTTATTTATTTAATTCATTATTATTTTTTAATTCATCTTATTATGCGTATAGTCTAAGTTTATAAATTATATGTCATTTAAATGTATATATACTACTAATTTATAAGGTTTTACCATTTGGGAGAGCTAAATTTTTAATTTTAATTATGTAACTAATATTTCTTATCATTTTGTAGCTATATATTTGATGGAGTATGGCTGGAAATTAAATTACAAAAAAATAATTTTATTTTTTATATTGTAATGTAACATGATCTGTATTATAATGTTTGTATTTAATACATTTATAAATATTTTTTTATAACTTTAATTGCTTATTCAATTCATAATGGAATAATAAAATAATAATATATATTTTCCGCACAACAATAATGACTGCCACGTTTATATATTTAAATGAGAATAAGAAACATAAATGTGGGATTAACTAAAAGAAACCCTTTTAATTTAGTCATTAACTAATTAAGTTTAACTAAAAGAAACCTTCTTAAATATGAGATTAGTGAGTAATTAATTAAAAAAAATGTAACTCCTTTTGGAGGGAAAGTGAAAATATTTTTATTAAATGTTTTATTAAATGAGATTAGCTAGTAATTATATATATATATATATATATATATATATATATATATATATTCAAGAGGTACAACTCCATCAAGGAGCCAAGCACAAAACAAAATGAAACTCCGTAAAAGAGACTTAAACTCCATAAAGGAGGCTAAGGGTGATGTATTCAATTGAGACTTTTAAAAACTTTTTATGACTTTAGAAATCCTTGTGTATTCAATTTAGATTTGTTAATATTTTTAAAAGTTTTGGCGTATTCAATTGGAATTGTAAAAAGTCTTACAAATTCTTGAGGTATTTGACTTATTTGAGACTATGATTTGTTAAGACTTTCTATGATTTGGTGGGATTTCTAAAGAAAAAACCTTATACGAAATCTCACTTCAAATATCACCTACAGACTTAAGATTTCACCGAATTCCTCCAAAAATCTAAAAATCTTAAAAAGTCTTAAATCTTAAAATGTCTCAAAATGTCAATTGAATTCTCCAAACGGCAGACACTTTAATAACTAGAAAACCCAAATACAGTATAGAGGAGATGTCAACTGACACCAAAAACTAGATAACCTGAACTTATTCCTTGAAATGTCAGATGAATACAAGATGTACAACTCTATCAAGGAGCCAACTGCAAAACAAAACGAAACTCTGGAAAAGAGAGTTAAACTCCATAAAGGAGACTAAAGCTAGACAAAGTTGGACTAACAAAACGAAAAACAAAGAAAAACGCACACCTAATGTACAAATAAACTAAGACCTCTCTTACACCTAACAGACCCCACGCACGACCACCCGAGTCGGCACACGAGCTGCTCCCATTAGCACAAAGATCCAACAAATCAGCAAACAGGAACCTCAAACCCGAAAACTTCGGCCACTCGTGTCGCCTAGACGAATATGATGAAGAGTCGATTCTCAATTCAGATCTGTACTCTGAAAAATCTTCAACGCCGGGGTAGGGGGGGAGTCACCGCTAAAACATCGGAACCCTACTGGAGGGCTCAAAAGAAGGTCCAAACGCGCAGTCGAGCTGCACCCTTAGACACAACACCTAAAGAAAACGAAAGAGGTCCAAACCCGCTAAGCCGATGGGTGTTGGTTTTTTTCAAATTTGAAGAAGAAGAGGGGCACATCCCCTCGCATGTGTAACTAAAGTAACTAGCACTAGCCAATTACAGACTTAAGATACGACTTTTCATTTATTAAAAATTGAGCGTCTGGGGCCACGTTCGACCGTCTTATCCGACTGCACCCAAGAGCTTCTCGTTCGGGGTGGGTGGAAGGTCGCGGTTGGCCGCGAATGGAAGGTCGTCGGAGATGATTTGACTCGATTCCCAATCCGCTGCCACCTCTCGATTCTAGATCCACCACCCTGACCTGATTTTGTCTCTGTAAGAATCGGGAAAAACGGGTATGGTCCCATGCACGTGAAGCACACCATAAGAGGGTGAGCCTAGATGCACCTTAGTAGGATTCCATCCCAAAACTAATTGGTGGTATGAGGAGTAGCCCATTAGGCTTATAAGTTAGGCCTATTTTCTCTGTATAAACAATGTGGGACAACTCACAAGTGACCCCTCACTTGTGAGTCCTTCATACGAAGCCCAAGCGCAAGTAGGCCGAGTAACGGGTACATCATCGCAGGTTCCACGTAGGCCCGATCTGATACCATGTAAGTATCCGGGAAAACGGGTGCGGTCACATGCACATGAAGTGCACCATAAGAGGGTGAACCTAGATGTACCTTAGTGGAGTTCCATCCCAAAATCAATTGGTAGTAGATGGAGTAGTCCATTGGGCTTATAAGTTAGACCTATTTTTCTTGTATAAACGACGTGGGACAATTCGCAAGTGATAATCTAATAGTCTCTGCTAGCTCCAGTCAATTCACAGTTGATAATTACTTGCATAGCCGATCGACGACGCCGAACGCTTTCTCGCCGACGATAATTTTGATGATGAGGACGGTGAAACTCGTAGGGACAAATACGAGCTGTGTATTGTAGGACGATGGTGGAGCTAGCGTCGTCGCCGCTGCGGGTGGGCCAAAAGAAGTACACCATGGTGGTTGAGGACGCGCCTGACCACGTTGACGACAACGATACGTTCTCATGGTCGACGGTGAGGCCGTACTTTCGGTGCATGTTGCCAGAGCCGGCGCAGTTTATGTGGCCGCCGTCGTCAACAATTAGGCATACGCCGACGAATAAGGCGAGGAGGAGGCATATGAGACCTTTTTTAAGTGTTGCAGAAGGTATGCATGGCTGCTGAGAATTGAGGTGAGAGGGATGGGTGGAGACGGGGCCCACTGCGTGATGTGAGAGAGGGAGACTAGTTAGTGGTGGTACCTACATAAAATATGAATGGGAGAGAAATGTTCAATTTACTCTTAATGACTGTAGATGTTTGATTTTTGGTTTTTCTGTCAATAATATATAATTATTATTAACGAATCGAATATGTATATATTCGAATTCAAATTCGAATAAATTTTGAATACTAACACTATTTTTATTCAAACACGAATTTGAAATTTTTCGAATACGCTCGAATACCAAATTCAAATCATGGATTTTTTTACCACCTTAATGCATGCCATGGAGCGGGCCCCAATCCCTTCCCTTTTCCTCGTCTTAAATGTACAAATCTATCATTATATAAAAAGAATAACCTTTTTACAAATATAGAAATATTTTCCCGCCAAAATCATTAAATATATTCTATATATAGTAATTGTTGGACAAATCTGAATAGGCAAAAAAATCGGTTCATTAATTTGTTTCTCTTTTGCAAAAAAAAACGGTTTAAGATTTGTTTCTCTTTTTTCTGTTTTTTAGTTTATCAAAATCGTTGTTTGACAATAAATATTTATTTTTCTTTTTTCTATTTTTAGTATAAATCTACACTAGCTTATCTCTTCTGTTACAAAATCCCATTGCATACGAATCTCATCCCTTATCTATACAGATTTGAAAAAATAAAATAAAATAGAAACTAATTCATAATTACTACTAGAAATCCATTATCTACTTTAATAAGCTAATTTTCATCGGTCTAATTACTAATATTTTTACAAATATTATAAGTTAACAATACAAAAAAGTATAATAATAATTTTAAAATGGTGTGTAATCAAATTTTTTTATATTCTCTTATACAAAATAATTTTACATTGTTTGACCCCGAATCTATAATTTATAATTATTAAGTATTGTTTATCCTCCTCTTTAATTTATAATTATTTTTTTCTTCCTCTTTTTAAATAGGATTAATAATAGTTTTCACTTTCGTCATGGAGTGACTCTAACTTGAGATCTATTTATAATATTGTTAATTTAATATTATTCCCGTGCATCGCACGGGGTATACACTAGTCAGTATAAAACAATATATAGACATTTTGTAATATTAACCTTGTACATTGATCATTGCCTAAAATTAATGTTCAACCAATGTAACCGTGGATAAATAGGTACCTATCAAATATGAACAAGCAGTATTTAACAGTGAAAACACCGAAGTCACTTTCCACTTTTCATTTTATTTTCGTTGTGTTGCCTTTTTTAATTTGGGAGGCTAAGCTGGGAAGCACTATGTGTGGTTCAGACATATTGTATATTTTAATTTTGGATTCTTCCAGTTTGTCAAATATTATTTGGGAGGTCTTGTATTAGGCTAAGTTAAACATTAAGTCGATATACATTTTATAAAGATGTATACATTTATTAAAAAATATTATACTTTAAAAAACATAATAAATATAAGTATCACAAAATGTCATTTAATAGTATTTATATATAAATATATACACATACATTTTTATTTATGGAAGGTTGACCTATCTAATGTAGGACTGTAAATGAGTCGAGCGGCTCACGAACCGCTCGTGAGCGCTCGAGTCAATGCTCAACTCGAGGTCGAGTCGAGCTCGAGCTATTCAATCGAGCAAACAATTTGAGCGTCAAACATCATTTCAAGAGGTTAATAAGCTCACTCGGCTTTTTATCTACATGAACACCTCATATAGCTTAATTATCAATGTTAGAACAACAAGACAAAAATTAGCTAATCAAATTAAAAGTAGTACATTTATATTTAAATTTAATTTTTAAAATTTGAAGTCAAACTCGAGTCATATCGAGCATCAAGTCGAGCTCGAGCATTTTTTTTGTCACGAGTCGAATTGAGCAAAACATTTACTTTACTTGTCGAGTTCGAGCATTGCAAAAAAGTTCGATTTGCGCTCCACAAAATGTATGCTCACTCGACTCAGTCTGGAACCTGCATGAACCAAGATTTTGTAATATTATATAACCTTCGGTCCTCTATTAGTGCAATCTTTTTAANGAAAAAAAAGAAAAAAAAAAAGAAAAAACAGAGAATCTGTCACATAAAAAATGATGCAATTTAATTATTCAATCATTTTGATTTTAGTCGCATTATCAACGGCAACCGGCGAATCGATTTCACGATGCTACGAATCCATTGTCAGCTTTGGCGATTCGCTTGCAGATACTGGCAATTTCCTTCATCTCCTGCCGGCCGACAGCCCACCGCGGTCCGCCCGCCCCCCTTACGGCCGGACTTACTTCCACCGCCCCACCGGTAGATTTTCCGATGGCCGCCTCGTCGTCGACTTCATCGGTAGTGCTCTAACGTAATAATATTTATCTTGCTTGCTCGGTACTAGACAAAAAAAAGTCTGTACAGATTCAGAAAGAAAAGGAAAATCTCAAATTTTCCAAATTTGGTAAAACAAAAACTGTAGAAAAATCGCTTGTTGATTGATGTGTGCACAAAAAGAGACAATTTCTTAAATTGACGAGTTTTTTGGGGGAATATGAGAATATAGTATAGACAGTGACACCGTCCAAATCATACTCACAATTTTGACTCTTCTATCCTGAGAATGTTATTTTGATTTATTTATTTATTATTTTTTTTTTTTTTACTGTGTTATGTTTACAGCTCAGAATTTAGGACTGCCGTTATTGCAACCGTACGTTGGGCGAGAAAACGGTGGCCGGAATTTTAGCGAAGGAGTGAATTTCGCGGTGGTCGGAGCTTCAGCTCTTGATTATGGCTTCTTTGAGGAAATTGGGATTTATATGGGCACAAATGCGTCACTTGGGATTCAAATGGAATGGTTCAAACAATTTTTGGCCACTATGCCTGGTGAGATGGTCATAATTTTTTCTTAGTCACTTATGTATTAATTTTTTTCTTCTTTTTTTTTTTCGGTAATTAAATTTGATAAATAGTGTTAGGTTGTCATTCAAATTTCTGTAGTAATAATTATCTTTCAGACTCAATTTGATCAACAAATATTAATTTAAAGTTATCTAAATTCATTAATCTCCTCAATTTTTGTGGTTTTTTTTGGAGTAATTTCTTGTTTAATAACATAATCTGCTCTGCTTTCTGAGTACTGACAACAACAGATGGGAAAGGATTTCTTCAAAGGTCTTTGGTTCTTTTGGGAGAGATTGGAGGCAACGATTACAATAATCCAATCATACAAGGGCTAGATTTCGAAACAATCCGAACATTTGTCCCACTAGTTGTCGATTACATTGGATCAACACTTCAAGTACACGATAAAAATCTCCTCTGCAATCTGCATTTGTTTTGCTTCACATCCGAATATCATAAACCAATAATATGAAATAAATTTCACTATCCTAACAGGAACTTATTAAGGTCGGTGCCAAGACAATAATAGTCCCCGGGAACTTCCCAATCGGTTGCTTGCCTATTTACCTAACACAGTTCAAAGAATCGAGTGTCTCTACCGATTACGACCCCAAAACCGGATGCCTCAATTGGTTAAACGAGTTCTCAATGTACCATAATAATTTGCTCAAAAAGGAATTAAGCCGCATTCGAGCCCTTTATCCTCACGCGCGCATAATCTATGGGGATAATTACAATGCCGCGATGCGCTTCTATCTATCCCCAAAAGAATTCGGTAATTAATTGTATAGCTAACTTTGTTTTAACTATTATTATTATTATTTTAATGAAGAAACAGTAGGCGAGTGTACAAATTATGAATGCAGGATTTACAGAGGGAATTTTGAGGGCTTGCTGTGGGAAAGGGGGGTCGTACAATTTCAATGGGTCAGCACAATGTGGATTGGCTCTTTCGACGTGTTGTGAGGATCCGAGTTTGTTTGCTAGTTGGGATGGGTTACACTTCACGGAGGCCGCGTATAGGTGGATTGCCCAAGGTTTGATTGAAGGACCTTATACGATTCCTCAAATAAGCACCGTTTGCCGTGCAGTATCTTCAACCGATGGTCGTGTTTATGAGTAATGAGAGATCGTGAAGTATGTATTTGTGTAGATTGCATGTATAATTTGTTAATAAAAAATCGAAATTCGACGTGTGTATTGGTTTGGTTTTGTGTGGACTCTGGATCGGCTCGTCATCTATAACGACCGATAATCTCAGATACTGATTAATGTTGTTGTTCATCGATATATCACTTGAATCAAAGTTGTTTGTGTGGACTCTTTCAATGAATGTTGAGGTGAGCCTAGGTGCACCATAGTGAGGTTCCATCCCAAAATCAATTGGGGATAGGAGGAGTAGCCCACGAGGCTTATATACTATACTCATTTTCCCTATAGAATCAATGTGGCACAACTAACAAACGATATTCCAACATTTTACATGACTTCACATTGGTAGCCAAAATGACGCGCTATGAATTCAGAGAAGAACCAAAGTATGTTTAAAAAAGATGATTTTAGTGAGTAGTGTTATGATCTTAAATTTGAAAAATCACGACTAAAGTTTCCAAGAAGGCTAATGGGCGAAAAATATGACATACGCTAATATTGGAAGAAGTTGAACGCTTCCCCAATGGCAGCATCTAACTAATTTTGGTACTGAAAAAATGTTTCAGAAAACTATGTGAATGACTAATTCTAATTTCAGAAAATTGACTAATTCTAATTTTCTAAGTGGGTATCATATAATTTATCATAAGTAGTTGTGTGAAGTTGCCTAACTCAAACATTTTTAACGAAAAATATCTCATTACTTAGTATATTGTTGTCTAGAGTAAAACATTCTAATTTTAAACTTGTATATTTATTAAAAAGGTATAACATTATAGCCTAGGTCTGCATAACAATAACTTAACTGATAATTTATTTGCAATTGCAGTTTCTAAATAATAGAGCAAAATTGAAGGCCACAAAAATGAACCAGCTATCCCAGTTTCTAAATTATAGAGCAAAATTGAAGGCCAAAAAGATGAACCAAAAAATGAACTGGACTGGTTTCATATTCGAGATAATTGTGCTAAGCTTTCATGTGATTTGGAAATATTGCGAGTTATTCCTCATTGTGCTAATGTGTATTTACTGCAGGACACGTGTCAACACACCATTTGTGGATAACTATAGATGACTCCATACACTCTCACTTCTAATTAGTTTTTCACTAATTTCATTTTATGCATCAAATCTTGAAAGAAAGTATACACTGTCCTTCTAAATTATTATTCACTAATTTCTTTTTATACCCCTTAGGTAAATATAATAATGTGTGTGATAATTATATCAATATATTTTATTTTCGATTGCAATTTTTTAGATGAAAATTATTTTGAAAAACAGAAATTTTAGATGAGTACCACATAAATTTTTAGATAAAACAAAATTAAAGACGAAATTAAAGATAACAAAGTGGACCACGTACTGAATCATCTTTCATGATATTTATTCCTAGTACTAGTATTCTCATGACAACTCGATAAGATAATGTCGATAATAAGATTAGCCTTGACAAAAAATAAAAATACAAATAAGAAAAGTATATTTGCAAAAATAAAATAAAATAGAAGGTAATAACAATTTCCAATTTTATAATCAATGTAATAATGAGAACATCAACGTGCACAAACTTTATGAAAAAAATAAATAAAAGGAGACTATATTGTAATAATGAGAACATCAACGTGCACAAACTTTATGAGAACATTTAACAATCTATATTAAGTAATTAACAGAGTATCAATATTATAATAATAATTAATCAAGAATCCCAAATGGGGCCGAAGGCGGCCTGCGGCCTTGCACACGTTCACCACGTCCCTACTCCCCTCTGGATTACTGGTCACGATCACCACCTCGGCCCCGAACCCTCTGGCCGTCTTCACACTCATCTCAGCCACGTTCGGCCGCCCCATCACGGCCGTGTTGTGCACGATAGCCCTTCCGGCCTTCATAGCCTCGCTCATCCACCCCTTTATCTCCGCTCCGTAATTCTCTTCCACTCCCTTTGTCTTCCACTCCCTTTGTCACCCACAGCACGCATACCTCCGCCGTGCTCGGCTGCAGAAGGAACGACAAGAACACGCAAATCCCAACCCAGTCGCCACCAACAAAGCCCTACCCTACATGTTCGTCAGGTAAGGAAGGCCCGAAAAGTGCACTAGTCGGACCCACAGGTGGGTCGGGGGTTCGAAACCAAGGACATGGTAAAGTCTCCCACGGCACCCGCCAACATCATGTGCTCTTTCTTCCCGTCCGAGACAATCCCGAACGCATGCCACTCGGAAAACGACGACGGGCTTATTCGCCCGAGGATCCCGAACTTGACTCCACCCTCGAACTTGATGATGGCCGCATGGCCTGACGGAGACGTGACTTGCACTTTGACCTTTCTCACCGTCAGCCACGACACGATGATCAATACAGTTGTCGCGAGCGTGAACCAAAACTCCTGACTTCTGACGAGCCTCGACCCGAACTCATCCCGGTAGGATTCAGTTCTCGGATTGTACGAGACGGTGAGTAAGGCGAAGGCCCAGAGGAGGGCGAGGGCAGCCCAGCCCGCAAACCGGTGGGTCCGCTCGAACACGTTGTGGTGGAGGTGCCGGAGGAGCGGAAACGCCGCGAGTGTTGACAACGCAAGGAGGCCGAGGATCGCCGCCGTGATGAGAACGTTTTGAGGCTCGAGCACGCCAAGGGCCATGGGACGAGACGACCTGAGAAGGCCGAGGAAAGGGTCAAAACCATGCACGCATGGCCTAAGAGACGGGTACGAGCCCGTATGCGAGGCACAACCAGTGCAAGAGAGCGGGCCAACGAAGGACGTGCATGGAGGCGCACGAGGGTACACGTGAAGATGCGCATCTATCAGCGCAAGCGGGTGCACGAGATGATCCGACGGCAAGGGCGTGAACGCACTACTAGAATATGAATCATCAAGAACAAAAAATTCCGTTGGTTAAAGTTCATTTTCCGTTGCTAATGAATAATAAGAACAAAAAAAATCCGTTTCATTATTGGTTAGTGAAAACAAGGGTTCTGATGCTCAGAGACGGATTCCGTTCCGTTGCTATCAGTAACGGCTTTTGTAACAAGCAAGCCGTTTCTAGTCTTCGAGAAATAGCAACCAAATCAGAAACGAGACTATTTGTTACTAATTAATGAGTAATAGAAACCAAATTAGTTACGAGACTATTTGTTCCTAATTGTTCATTATTAGAAACTAAATTAGAAACGAGAATATTTGTTCCTAATTATTCATTAATAGAAACCAAATTAGAAACGAGATTATTTGTTCCTAATTATTCAGTAATAGAAACTAAATTAGAAACTAGATTATTTGTTCCTAACTAATCAGCAATAGAAACCAAATTAAAAACGGATTGTTTTGTTCTTAACATCTTAATATTAGTGACAATTACAATATAATGGCATCTTCTATTTTTTATTGTTGCATTCAGTAAAATTGTTTTGCATCAAATGAATTCATTAATACCACTAAAAATAAGCAAGTAAGATTAAAGAAAAATAAAATAAAATACAATTATTTTATTTCGTCAATACAATAATAAAAAAATTCAATTGATAAAACATCAAAGTACAATTAATACAAACTACTAATCATTTTATCCTCAAATAAACTTGGAAGTAATATTTTTAACATTTCATGATTATGCCCCAATAGAACTCGCTGAGCCTTCTCTCGTTCTTGTGCTGCAGAAATGAACCCGTCATACATTGGCAGCTTGTTCAAGTCAAGATACCGTAATGTTTTTTGAGTCGCTGATATGAACCCTTCATATGTTGGTAGCTTATTCAAGTCCAGCTGCAATATCGATGCCTTCTCTTTAGTGTTACATTCTTGTGTCTGTAGATAAGAATCAAATTATTCGTCGTATCATATATTGGTGAAAAGAAGAAAAAATAAAATAAAATTTGCAGTGTTACATTCTTGTGTGTGTAGATAAGAATCAAATTATTCGTCGTATCATATATTGGTGAAAAGAAGAAAAAATAAAATAAAATTTACACTTACAGACTCTGGCGGATAATTCAAATCCCATCCTATTGTTTGACGTTTCACTCCTATAGAAGTATGTCTGCCAAATAAATGTATGAGTAATACTCAAAATGTAATTGCTCCCATAGAAGTATGTCTGCCAAATAAATGTATGAGTAATACTCAAAATGTAATTGCGTTCAGGAGGTAATAAGATGATTCAGTAGTAGTTGTAAAATGATTCAGTAGTAGTTGCGTTCAGAGGTAAGATGATTTGGAGTTTGTAGAAGAGTTTGGAGTTCTGTAGTTAGAGAAGAGTGTTTTAGACGTGGTTAGTAACGTGGTCAGTTAATTTAATATAGGATGTGGTAGTTATTATACTTGAACGCGTGGGTAACCTATTTATTAATCCTAACTCAATATTTATTAATTAACTACACCTCCCTATTTATTATTAACTTAATCTATTTATTAATTACTACTCAATATTTATTAATTAATTACTACTTCCTATTTATTAACCTAACATATTGTGCAACTCAATAATTATTTATTAACTTTACGTTTATAACTTTTTTTTAAAAAATAAATTATAAAAGTTCGCCTACCATATTTCAATTTAATTAGTTATCATACTTACAATATTTTATTTTAATATTATTAATAAACTTTAAATTGTATAAGGAAATACAAACCAAAACAAAATATGCTATAAGAAAATGAGTATCATATAGATGGTCGACACATAGGATTAAAATATATCTTAGTCCATAGAGAAAAGTTGTAGAAGAAACTAAATCATTAACTAAAAGATTTAGGAAAATTAAATATTCCATAGAGAAAAATTGTAAATGATTATTACTTAAAAGATCTAGAAAAACTAAATATTCCATAGATAAAAATTGCAAATGAAATTAAATCTTTAACTAAAAGATGTAGAAAAACTAAATAATTCAAATAAAAAATATATGTACCAAACTAAAAGCCAAAAATGACTAACCAGTCCGACATTTTCTTGAAGCAAAAATATAATTTAAGAAAATGTGTAATCAAGAAACATTATTTCAAGACATTTTCATGAAGTGCTACTTATGGCAGTATCAATTATCTAATAGGTTAGATTTATTTATAAGTAGATATGTCTACATATTGTATGTGCGGATCTCGATTGTATTAAAAGTAACAATTGTTCTTGTGATAATAATGGTGATGTAATTTAAGCTGGGTACTAAAAGGTTGTTGCTTTAACTTAATAAGCCTGGGGCTGCATGGAATGGAATGGTTACCAATACCACGTAATTAGTAGTACTAATTAATTAATTTATTCAAAAATAAAAATAAAAGAAAAAAATATAATCCTCAGTGGATATCATATCAAGGGTCGCTAACACCACAGCTACATACTACAGTACAATAGATAGGGCATTACAAATTAGTTAGGATTTAAGACCCGTACCAGGCAATGAAATATTTTACAATTATTTGATTAGCACAAGATGTTCGTTCGAACTCATTCAAGCTCGAATATAAAAATTAAAAAAAAAAATCATATTTTAGAGTTTTTATAAAAAAATATTATATATATAAACATAAATAAAAATTGTATAGAATTAATGTTTAGTGAACGTTTGCGAACAAGCTGGGGTTTGTTCAATTATTAAACGAACATAGTTATATATGTAGAATATGCTACAATATTAAATCTTTAAATTGAAACCATTTATATGTATTTGTAACAAAGGGAGTTAGTCACAGAATTAGTTACTAATACAAATACAATGGTTTAAAGTACATTTCGTTTCTGAAAGTATATTCTGTATCTAAATCATTGTTACTATTGTAACAACTAAAATTTAGTTACAAATTTTGGTTACTGATGCACCATTTTCTAGTAGTGAACACGCACATTGGCATAGACATGCATGGTCGAGACCCGGGAAGCCGACAGGGTCGAGCCTGCGAGGACGAGCGTGCGGCACGAGAGGTCTCAGCCAAATGGGTCGAACAGGAAGGTCGGGTGGTCGACTCTCGGATGGTCGACACTCGCTAGGTCGATCGGGCAGCAGGACGAACGGATGGACGATGCTCGCGGAGTCGAGGACGCGCATGGTCGAGGTCGGTGGAATCGAGGCTAGACTCACGGTGTCGAGCAGATCGAGGCGTGAGCAGGTCGAGGCTAGTTGGGTCGATCACCGCCAAGGTGCGAGGCAAAAGGCTGGACATCCAGTAAGCCTCGTTGGACAAGGATTAGGCGACGGGGTCGAGTGCGGCCACGCACTCGTTAAGTTGGCAAGAGTTGGACTCCTTGGAGTATTAGGAAAGCCAGACGAGGGAGATTCCAGAGAGGTGCTAGGAATCCTCAAAAGGCTAGGACCCGCAGGCAGGTATAGTCACACGCATACAAGGTTGGCGCTAGGAAGAGTCCTTGAAGGACAAGGCGAAGGCAATGCGGACGAGCACATGGGCGGTTTTCTTGGTGGGGTAGGGAAGGCGCAAAAGGGCGGCGCAAACGCGGAAGACTCTTTGAAGGCGGCTAGGGTCTCTTCTCTAGACGGAGTTAGCAACGGACCGAGGACACCGCACGACCGAGCACGAGAAGGAGTGCGCGGGCGTGACGCGCAAGCGCACGAGGCGAGCCGAGGAGCAAGAATTCTAGAAGACATTTTATTAGATTAATTATGTAATTAATTAATTAGTTTCTTAGATATTATGTTAGTAGCCGTTTAGTCATTGTTATTATATTTAGTACTAGTTAGGTTAGTGTTAGGATTAGATGTTAGGTTAATTATTTGGTTTGTTAGATTAGCCGTGAGTTTAATTAGATTGTTAGGAATTAGTATTTTATATTTTGGTAAGTATTATCATGATATTTAGTTACCATTTTTTTTATCATTCAATCAATATATTTTTTACGGCCCAAAATTGCCATTTTGTTCAAATGTCTTAAATATTTGACACATATCATTATTTATCAACCAAATACAATTATTTATTTTGTAATATTTTGCTGGTATTTTTTTAGTATTTTTTTTTAAATTTCCTGTATGATCTATAGTACAAAATACAATAATTATTTAAAAAAATAAAACCATTATATGTCTTAGTTTGAAGATAGTGATTTGTAGTGATGGATTTTCTGTTGATAGAAAAACCACAAACGTTGTATATAAAGAATTGTTTAACAATATTTAGTTATTTTTTCTTAGAACATTTTTTCAATGATTATATTATGATTTTTACTATTATTTATATCTTTTAATTATTTTTTGTTCTATTATATTGCTTTCCGTGCAAATGCACGGATTAAAAACTAGTGTTTTGATACATAATTGACCTTTATCTTTAAGTTATCCAAAAATTGTCAATGACTTAAAATCATGAAAATAATGAAACTTCCCATACATTATATATTGTTGAATAAGGGGACTGATCATTTCAATATATGTGCAATAAAATTTTCAAGTGGTTAGTTTGTCGTCCTATGTGGAATTCAGGGTCGCAGCCAGTCCACGGTCAATAACGAACGGTGAGAGAGCAAATTTGTGTTTCACGTACATGTATCATGCCATGCTAGTATGTACTTCCAAATAATACTATTGATATTTTGTTCTAATGTATGACTAGCTTCATACTTTCATATTGCTCTATATATACTATGCACTACAAGAAAATGATAAAATTCCAACGGAAATATATTGTAATAAAATTTCAATGGCAATTCCAATTGATATTTCAATGCTATTATTTTCGTTGGAATAATTCCAACGGAAATTCCAACAAAAATATTCCGTTGTAATGAGTTTTCTATTGAAGTTTCCGTTGGATTTTGACGACTCCAACGGTAGATTTTTCAACGGTGATGGAAATAACAATTCCAACGAAAATTTCATATTCCAACGGAAATTCCTACGGTAAAAAGCCGTTAGAATTATAGCCGTTGGAATCATCAAATTCCATCTAAAATTCCAATGAAAAATACATTCCAACGGAATATTTTCATTGGAATTTTCGTTGGAATCATTCCAACGAAAGTTTTACCATTGGAATATCCGTTGAAATTTCCATTGGAATATATTGTCATAAAATTTTGCGTTGGAATATGACATTTTTTTTGTAGTGATGGCTAATGGTTTCATTAATTGACTTCAACGGATATGCTATTTCAAGGGTCTTGATTGGACAATGGAATAAATAATTTTATGGCATCGCAATAATAAGTTATGAGAAAATTTGGGATGTTTAATTTTGCCTGTAAATGGAAAAAAAAAATTCTCTTCCATTGCGCATATTAATACGTTAATTTATTTTTTAATAATATATATATAATTAATATTTGGGCCTTCCACTCGGAATTGAGTGATCCAAGTTTGAAACATTTCAGTATGTCCTGGACTCAGTCAAATCCATTCAGAGCTGAAAATCAGAACTTCTCTCACAGACAGGAAAGGTGATCTTGATCAAGCTTTACCAGTTTTTTCCATGTGCAGAATGCTAAGGGGGTGATTGGATATGAATTCAACTAGTAAAAATCTAGTTTTTTTAAACTGTAGTTAAGTTTAAAAAAAAAAGTGGTATGGTTAGTTGTTAGTGGATATATTAAAATAGTATTTAAAATAAAAATGATTAAAGTTGATTTGCTGTAAAAGTAAGAGAAAATGATTGGAAGTGATAGTTAGTTAAAATTATGTGAGTGGATGAATAGTAAATTAAAGTTGATGTGATGTGTAAAAATGATTGGTTGATATTATTTTATTATATTAATAATATTGAAAATAATGGAGTTGAGTTAAAGTTGTGTTAAATTTGAGTTTGAATTAATTTTTTTACTGTACAATGCATAAACAATCACCCCCTAATTTTTGGTGGAGCACCAATGAAGAACACACCAAGGGCATCCACTGGAAAAATTGGAACTTATTATCCCTTCCTAAAGCATCTGGTGGTCTTGGATTTATTGGTATCAAGCTCTTCAACACAACTCCAATTTGCAAACAATTATGGAGAATCACCACACATCCTCAGTTGCTAGTTAGCATATTATTGAAAGACAAATATTTTCCTAATTGTTCAATATTTGAAGCAGTTAAAACTCAGAGCAGTTCATGGTTATGGAGCAACTGGATGAAAGTTGTGCCAATCTTTGCCAAGGGATATGCAGCGGAAATCAGAAATGGGAATTCAACCAGAATAGATGATGTGAACTGGGTGCCAACCCCTTTCAAAATCTAAACCCCAGCTCATAGAGATTCCAAGTGGACACCTCATATGGGTCAAAGAATTGCTGGATAACTCAGGCCTGGGCTGGAACACATGGTTGTTTGTTCGCAAAATATTTTCGCTACCCGCCAGTGTACGGTGTAACTATAGCAAGCGGCGAGCAAGGTCGTATTCCACAGAGATTGTTGCTAAAATAATTAAGTATCAAAATGCAGATGATTAAATGTTATTTAGACTAATTCAAATTTGAATGGTGCTTTAATTCTAAGCTAATGAAAAATGATAAACTAGAGCTAACAACTAATGAAGGCTTATTCTAAATAAATCAAGATTGAAAAAATAGATTCTAGGCTAAGTTTTTTTGGGGATTATTCTAGCAAAGATTTCTTATTCATTCAAATTTTATTTAATTCTATCAATCGTAGGGATAATTACTAAAATAATTTCAATCTTGCTCTCGAACAAGTTAAATCGTAGATATTAATTGTTATCCATCTCCTCTCGGTCTCAAGATGAACAACTAACTCCCATAAGTTCCTAGAATTTTAGTTCCCTCGCAAGGTTTATCAATCTCTCGGTCTGTTTAGTCTCTTACGTTATTAATTTTCCAATTTTAGCAATCAATTATCTCCTCTCGGTCTCAAGTCAATCACAAATATGAATAAATAAGGCCCTATATTCACACAATTAAAATAAACACAAGAAATTGATAAATGAACGATAGACCAGAATGAATGGATAAAACCACTTCATAAAATAATCCGAGTACTCACAAATCCTAGAATCCCAAAAAGGTTTACCTACTAAACATATTTTCAAAACTCAAAATAAATAAATCCATGAGTTCACTGAAGAAGAAAAGAGAAAATAAAGAAGAACTATTGTCGCCGTTAGTTCCCGAATCTTCAATCTTGACTTCCTCGAATCCCTCGTGTGTTTTCGTGCTTTCTCTTGACCTCCAAAGGTGTCCAAAGTTCCAAAACCGAGTTCTCCAAGTCCTTTTTATAATGTAGGTCGAATATTGGTTAAAAAAGGGAAGAAATCACATAAGAACTCTAGTCCTTGTTTAAGT